TGGGGTTTAGTATACTATAACTATAAGAAGGAACGCCCCCTAAACTAGTATAGATAAGTATTAAAGCCCCTATATTACAGGTTACAGTCGAAAGAGACTGCAAGGGAAGATTATTACCAATTTTCAGACTCTAAACGGAAAGAAGGCTGTAGGAGAAGCGCTGTTAGAGTGTAGGCTTAGGGCTGAGGGCTTTTAGGGTTTAGGGTTAAGGCTTTTGGGGTCGAGGGTGTGGGTTTAGGCCTTTGGGTTTAGAGCCTTACCAATAAAAACAACCTGAACTGCTTGAACTCATTTCACTACTTACATTGATACCTTCTTGAACAAACAGGGAGCCGTGGCGGGCCAAGAGGCTCGTCGCAGGTCTCTAGGCTCGCCGCCACCTCGAGGAGGTGCCTGAGCGAAGGTCGGGTTTCAGTGCCTTTGTTGGAGCGGGTAAGCTCTGCTTCTTTTGTTAAAAAGGGCTGTCTTTGTAATCATGGGATTCCACTTTCCTGGTTGTGCTTTCTTTTTGCTGCTTTTGTGGTCGGCGTTCGGGCTCATGGGCTTTGGGTTTAGGGCTGCGTAGAGCACTTGCTTGAAGGCTTCATCAGGGTTGACGAGGGGTGTTACAGGGTTTGCGAAAGGGGCTCGCTTTGTGGGGCTCGCCATTGTACGAGTGTAGGGCTTTAGAGCTAGAGTCCAGGCTTCATGGTTCAAAGGCTTGGGGCTAAGAGCAGGCACTTTAGGGTTTAACGTTTGGGTGTCAGTTTGAGGGTGTCGGGATTTGGGTTTAGCCTTCGTTGGAGACTTTGCTGATTTGCTACAAGCAGTTCAAGAAGGAGAGATATAAGCCGGTAGATAGACCTACTTGTTTACGGGATTGTATGGGTGACTAACCCAAAAAAATCAACCCGAAACCCCAAACACGACAGGGGCTGCAGGTTCGGGATTTTAAGGTCGGGGGTGTCCAGGATTCATGGTTGAGGATATGAGGTCGGTTTACATCCTAAATCCTAAACCCCTCAACCCTGTACCCTTTACCCTTAAACCCTGTGTTCATAGAACCCCGATGGTACCACTTTAGGCGAACCCCTACAAAACGCCAACAAACATATCCAACCCTAAACCCGAAATCCTAAATGCTATAAGGCGTAAACCCCTAAATCCTGAACCCCCAAACC